ACACATACAATACTACAACATATGTTGGTGAAACCTAAACCAAAGAATATCATGACTCACTACTTTCACTCATCTATGCTGAAAACAACTGACTTTTGTTATATATTAATTTATATCTCTTAAGACATATGTTAATTACATAATTCCAATTTTTCATTTATCAAAATATTTATTACACAATTTTTAAATTATTTTTAAGGAAAACTGTCCCAGACGACTTCAAACTAAGTCGTCTGGACGATTTAGTTTAAAGTCGTCTGGGCAGACGACTTGCGAGGGCTAGAAACGTAAAAACAAAAACTCTTTTTTTTGTTTGTTCACAAGGGGTTGGTTGTAATTTCAACAGCCTTTTAAGTTACTTTTGCATTTGATTCAAGTTTGGGTTTACTTTTGCATTTCAAATCAAGTTTTGAGTCATATTTGGAAATTTTCCCTAATATCAAACTAGCTTTTGCACAATTTAATTGTTTATACTTAAGATTCATATGTTTTCCATGTTTCACTTTGGTGGTCAATGTGATTAGCTTTCATTTATAAATTATGAGATTGTGTATTTCTTTTATTGTGCGTTTATTTAATTTATTTTGTAAATTAAACAGTAAAGTATTATGGTTTAAGTATATTTGTGGATTTTATTAAATTATATTATAAATATTTTGTTTTAAAGTTAAATATAAAGTTCAAATATTTTACGGATCATATAAACGGATCAATTATTGACAAATCATATAAACGGTTCAAAACCAAACTGAGCATGTAGACGAATCAATTACTGACGTATAAACGGATTCGAACCTTAGACCTGGTGAATCAAAACAATGATTGACAACAATCTAACTATTTAAATATATCATATATGTTTTGATTTTTATATAATATAAATATATAACAACATATATCTTATTCAATTTATTTTCTCATCTAATTTATTTTTTTATCAGTTGGTAATACATACCAATAAAATTGCACAAAATTTATGAAATAATAAAAGCGAAAACACCCATAATATATAAAAAATTATTTTAGAAATTATTTTATTTTTAAGAATCAATAAAAATTATAATTATAATTACATCAACATCATTTAGCATATTTCTATTTAGAATCCATAAATCTACATATATTTATTATTATAAAAATTGAGTTATATAAGATCCCAATAAATTTTATATACATAATTGTGTTACATAATTGATATTGGACACAATATATATAATTTTGACGCTTTCCCTATTAACTTTTTATTTTCATGATTGATATAGTATTAGTTACGATGCTAGCATAGAAATAGGTAAATTTATTGATTTAGGAAAATATGAAGTTATATACCTTTCCGATTTAGTGCACCAATATTCTAAAGATACTAACTAATAACTATAATGTCTTTAAATAAAAATATTATCAATAGCAGTTAATAAACTTATGTTTTATCGGTTTTGTAGGAATTTTGTTATATCTGTTAAACTAATTTCGTCGGTTTAGGCCTGTCAGTATTATTATTGTCAACAAACTTTTCATTAAAGTTTTGAAATTGGTTTGAGTAAACCACATACACACTTGACATAAGGATCAAAAGGAAGTGCAATCCACATGTCACTATGTTGTGGTCTGTAAAGAAAAATCTGAAAGTTTTCACGGCAACTCTTGCGCCATAGCCGATCAAATCTTCATGTCCTTCTTCTCCAGCGAAATTTGTAGTTGCTGCAAAGCTCTTTCCATGAAAACTCCAGGATTTCCTTTGTTAAAAGTTGTACCAGATTATATCTCCTTGCTAATGATGACCGAAAGAAATTTGAGAAACAAAATCTCACCGGTGATTAAAAACCAATTAAAAGGCGCACAGTACTCTTTATAAACATAATCTGAAAACGACGAAAAGCCCTGAATCAACATACTTTCTCCAAACATCTCGATCCTTCACCCATGGATAACCAAAGCTCCATAGTTCCTCTTTTGGTTGAGCAAGGAATGACACTTGATTGAGAGATTGAAACAGAGAAATCTCAATCGTTCAACTTAAATTTTTAGAACAGAGCAAAGGAGAATAAAGATAACATATGGAAATAAAAGAGAAAAGAGTACGATAATAAAAAAAAACTCGAGAAAGATTTTTAAGTTTTACTAAAACGACATTGTTTAAGCCAGTGGCAATCTATTGTAATTATTGTGGAAAATCAGGGTTAAGTACTAAATGTACTTCAGTTTTAATAGTATAGATTGTCAATTACAATGATTGAACGTTTTTAAAATTATATGTTTGATTATTTTGAATTTACTTGATATATTTTTATAATATATGTATATAGTGAGTAGAAATATTATTAGGTTTTTATTTATTAGTTTCTGCAATCTATGATTTATTGCATCCACTATAAATATAATATTTTAAAAATCCTTTATATTATTATTTATGTAGTATTATATGTATTTATATTTATATTTTAAATTTATATAATGTAATCTATGATTATCAATTGTTTCAACAAACACAAATTATGTTAAGTCATTTAAATTTAATAAGTTTGATTGATTTTATTTGGTAACATAGATTAGTTTAGGTTAGGGGTTCGGGTACCCATTCGGGTTCGGTTCGGATCTACTGGGGTTTCGGGTTTTCAGGTTCACAAATTTTAGCCCCATTAGGATATTTCTAAATTTCGGTTCGGGTTCAGTTCGGATCTTTGCGGGTTCGGATAACCCATTTAAATTATTTTTAAAATTTTAAAATTGATTATATACTTTAAATTTCTAAAAACCTATAAACAAAATAATATATTACAAATAATTGAATAACATAAGTCAAAATACTTAAAATTAACATATAAATTAGTTTGATTTGAATATTTGGATTGTGAATCAATAAGTTTTTAAAATATTTTTGATGTTTTGAGTGTATTTTAGCAATTTTAGACATGTATGTTTGACTATTTACTTATATTTACAAGTATTTTGGACAATTTCAAAGTATTTTATATATATTTAGTGTTTTATATACATTAAATCTAAAATAACTAATATATATAGGTATATAAATCTCTTTCAGATATATTCGGGTACCCGAAATACTTCGGTTCGGGTCGGGTTCGGTTTCGGTTCTTTAAATACAAAAATTTTGAGCTCATTCGGATATTGAATCAATTTCGGTTCAGATTTGATACTACTTTTTCGGATCGGGTTCGGTTCGGTTCTTCGGATCCGGGTTTTTTACCCAGCCCTAGTTTAGGTAATTATATGATTAGTTTTCTTTTAAAAACTTGATATAAATAAATTAAAATTCAAATATCAATAACCAATCAGATTAAGAGAATTAATTCTTAATTTCACATATGAGTCAAACCTAAGAAAAAAATCACTAAATAGACTTCTCAATTAATATATAGTAGGATTTATTTGATGTTTACTAAAGCCATCAGCAAATTATGGTTGAAAAAAGAAAATCGTTGTATTTATTCAAAAATGGAAACAATGTTTAGTGTTTGCAAATCTACTGATACAAGTTGTCATTTAAATTTGGATCATTTCTAGAGTGTTACAAATAATACAAGTTATATAGTTGATTGAACCGCATTACTTAAATTAAACCGGCGGTTATTTATGGAACAGAGTTTTGGGCTTACTTTTGTTTTTATGACATTTAATTGTTTGGTTTTTGGGCTTAGCATTAAAGAAAAACTCCAAAAAACATTAAATAAACTTTCTACCTTAATGGATCAAAAATCAATTACTATTTTCAGGCCCAAAAATATTTAATATTTTCAACAAAATAAAATTATCTATTATTAATCACTTATTTAAATCATGTACTTTAAAACATGTTAATATTTTTTAGCCCACAAATATTTAATATTTTTAGCCCAAAAATATTTAATATTTTCAACATAACAAAATTATCTATTATTAATAACTTATTTAAATCATGTACTTTAAAACATGTTAATATTTTTATTTTAAATAACAATCACTCTATCTTGATAAGTTTTAATGATAAATTTTGAATAATTTATTGTTTTATTTTTCTTAAATAATTTACAAATTAAAAAAAAATATAAAGCAAAACCAAAAATCAACTCTTAAAACTAAAATCCAAAACCAAAAACTGAAAACGCAGGTTATATTTTTTGCCTTTTTATTTACAAAATAAACTATTTCAAAAATTTTAGAAAATTATTTTGTCATCTTTTCAGTTTTAAATTACATGTTCGATTAATTGAGATTTGTTTGTTGGTAATATCAGTTCAAACTAACTCAGCGGGTCTAAAAATTAAAAACTCAAACCAAAAGCTGAAAATCAAAAATAGAAACTTAAAAACTAAAAACCAAAAATCAAAATTTAAAACAAAATCTAAAAATAAAAACTGAAACTAAGAACTAATGAAAAACAACTATCACCACAAATTTTGGTAAACTAATTTTATACCAAAACATTCTTTAAATTAAGACAAAACCCAATTATATAAATTTTTAATCATAAAAAATTTCCGTGTTTTTTAAGCGCGGGCCAAATTTAGTTGGTGTTTAAAACGGGAACGATGTAGAATTTGAATTGATTGTGTTAGTGCGGCAATAAATAATTTTCAGTATATCTAAAAAAAAAAATTGTCATCCAGTAGATTTACGCGAATGTAAAATACGTAACCGCTCTTGTGGTTTGCAGAAATAGTTAAAAGATTTTATTAGTAGATTTATGGTCAAATCAATTAAATATATAGCAATAAATAGTAATAAATTTTCACAATACTCTAAAGACCGAGATCAAAATTTGAATCAAATTGATTTCCGTTATCTTTCATTCAACGGAAGTATATGTTTCCAAAATTTGAAAGGTTAAAATCTATAAATAGGGATGGGTAACTAATAAGTAAAAAAACATCAAAAGACACAAACAACACAATAAGAGAGATGGAGAAGAAGTGTATGAGTATGTTCTTTGTAATGATGGTGATGACATTGGCGATGATGCCACTAACGGCAGTGGGTGAACCATATGCCGCTTGTGTAAACAGATGCGAGAGTTCGTGCCAAATATTCTTTAGAGAAGTCGAGAAATGCATTCACGATTGTATTGGTATCAAATGCCACAAATCACACGTACCCCCAAGGTATGTATAATACTTGTCTCATTTGTATGTGTTTTTGAAAGGTATATTCATGTCTCTATGTTTTCATGATTTCTTTTGGTGGCCATGGATTGCAGGATGGCGGATACAGGGGTGTTTCAAGAAATCCATACATAGATGATAGAGATATGTTATTAATAGACATAATACTTTAGTTTTTCTTGTGTGGTACTACATTATATGAATTTTGAATAATAAAATTATGTCATCATTTCCGAATTCCCTTGTTCTCACAAGCATTTGAAATTTTGTCAAAAACTAATTCCTACAATTTGGTTAAACAAATATGGGAATCATGTCGTAGGTTCCATTAGAAAATCTAGGATTGGATTCCACGTCACTATTATACACTGGGGAGATTAGTTGGGCTGCTGCCAAACTTTCCGGATCATAAAAATAAGCTTAACGATGTCATGTTTCAATCTTAATTAGGTCTTGCTATGTTAAAAGGTTCGAGCAATCATTTTGGACGGTTAACAATGCCCCATATCAACTCTGATCTTTGACTATATTATATTCCTACATTTCTATAAATAAATAGCTTTTCATCAGTTTAAAACATTCTAAATATAATATGAACTGTTTTATACTGAAAACTAGAAACGATGACATCGAAGGATTTAGCTTTCTCACTCTTATATTTTTCCATTATGATACAATCCATGCGATTAATGGATCGAGTTTAATTAGTAAAAATAAATATTATAGTTGATGATTTATAAACATTTCAGAAATGTCTATTACTAATTAACGACAAAAGACTGTCACTACGGTCAGAACGAAGAATTTTGCTATTCTACAATTATGGCAGGCTATCATTTACGAAGTTTGGCAAGAGAGGATTTCTCGTTTCCATTTGGGTTTATCCTCTATTCTACACTTGCGTGCTTAACAAATGTGATCTCAAATGGAGTCCCAAACTTCACACGTTCTGGTCTTCAATCTAGAGCTTAAATTTGTTTGTTTTAAGCTGTTTCTTTCTCCTCCTTTTTGATGGCCTCTCCCCTATTTCTGTTCCCACTGTGTCTCTGTTCTCTTATTTCACCTCTGTATCTTTTATTTTTCCGCTTGTAATCTTGTACCTTATATATTTAATGTGAAAGCCATTATAAAAAGTGTATTTAATTGTATTTTCAAACCCATTATTGACATGAGACATATAATTACAAAAGGGTTGAGTCTTGACATTGAAAACTGTTTTGTTTTTGTTACTGTCGAAAATAAGTTGAATTATATTGCTCAACTGGTCGCCTTATTCTAGGTTTGCTAAACTGTTCCGTAGTACGTAATTCAACAATGGTAACTTTCTCAATGCTAAGATGGGACCAAGACCTTCTTATGCTGGGAGATGCATTCAGTTTGGCAAAGCAATTTTGATGCAAAGGATGAAAAAACAGATTGGAAATGGAGAGTCGATTCTTGTTTTGATGGATTCTTGGATTGCTGAGGGTACAACTCTGTGAAGACTTCTGATGAAAAATATCTTAGTAAATATTGATCTCAAAGTCAGTGAACTCTTGGACCATCAGAACAACCTGTGGAACAAGGAGAGAAGGAGCTTTTCTATCCGGAAGATGTCCTAAGTATAATGAAGTTTAAACCGGTATGGACCAAGATGATTTTTGGATTTGGAGCCAAAATAAGAATGGTATGTACTTGGTTAAATCAGGATACTGGATGGCAAATCAAGGGATTCATACTGAGGTTAAACTTTAAGCTGTGGCTCAACCGTCGATCAATAGGCATAAAAATCAGTTTGGAAAATCAAGACTGTTCCGAAGATCCAAGTCTTCATATGGCGTGCTTTGAGTAATGCCATTTCTGTTTTGGAATTTACTTGAGTAGAGAGGTATAAAGATTGATACATGCTGTCAGATATGTGGAGACCAAATATAATCTGTCAAACCCTTGTTATTCTCTTGCACTTTGGCTAGACAGGTCTGGAGAACGACCCGTTCTAGGAGTATTTTTAATTTCGAATAAATTAGATAGTGTGAGGTTTTACTTTAGGAAGAGTTTTTTTTTGTAAGTGTGGAAACAGTTGTGCTCATTGAAAATGGGACCAGAAACCTTTATTTTGACTATGTGTTGGATGTTCAGTGAGAACTTGGACGATGCAGATTGGGCTGAGTGACGATAAAGCGAATACGGAATGATCAGAGCGTACGTAAGGAAAGATCGAGACGGCAAGGCTAATTAAGGAATATTCGGTACTAGACAATGCGGGTTTCAAGTAAGGAAAGTTTGACTGGTCATCATTGACGAGATTTTACGAAAGAAAGATCTGGACAAAAAGAGGCATATAGGGAAATAAAACTAAATGCCCGGCTTGGTGAGCAAGTCCAGAAAGTGTATAAAAGAGTGCTTTAGATTTTATTTCTACACCCAAAATCGGACACAGAGAGAACTCATAGTAAGAACGAAGTTATAGAGAGAAGATTTCAAAAAGCAGGACTGAACAAGGAGGAGCCGAGCATTTTCTCGTTGGAAACTCGATAACATAGATATTAGTGAATTAGATCCATATATGCTAGAATATATGAACGACTGATATGTTTTATGGAAAATTCGTTCTTCTTTCTTCAAAGTGATCTTCACGGATCGAAGAACTTTCTTCGCATTCGTAGGATATGGCATGATAGATTGTGTGTATTGATAGTAAATATGAATGATATTGTAAAAACCCGAATTTTATTTTCAGAATTTGTTAACATGCTAAACTTATTATTTGTCTATAAATGTTGAACTCCCCTCCCATCAGTTCATTTTGTTGCAAAATCTGAGAGAGAGAGAGAGAGAAGTTGAAGGTGGGGAATCTTTTGCAAGGCTGAGCCATCGCCGGAGCTCGCCACGACCACCACACATCATAATCACGCCAACCTCGTCCCTACCGTTCGCCGCAGCTAAGAATCACCAGAAAACCATGGATAGAGCTTTGTTTTATCCGTTTAGTAAATCTTCGATATAACTGTTGAGAATCTCGCACATGCAAGGCCACCACCGTGTTCTACTCGTCAAGACGAAGCCGTATACACCGACCACGCCCCGATCCAACCTCAAACGAAGCCGCACGTGCCCGTCGAAGTTTCACCGTCCGAACGCATGTAGTGCACGCGCCACCGGAGAGCCACCGCTATGTCTCCGCCGCCGGACCACCGCCGTGTCTCCGCCGCTGGACCACCGCCGTGTCTCCGCCGCCGGACCACCGCCGTGTCTCCGCCGCCGGTGGCTCGGCCAAATCGGCCGAGTCAACTCAGCGAGTCAACCGAGTTGACTCGGTAAACCGGTTGGTTGACTAGTTTGACAAGTTTAATCCAATTGCGATTTGGTTAAGATAAACCGATGGTTAAAATCAATTGAATTTTGGTTAGGTGTAAACCGGTTTGTAAATGATTGGAATCTGGTTCAATTGAAATCGAATTCGGTTAAGGAAAACAGGTTGGTCCAATTCGATTTTAATTTGGTCAAGGGTTGACCGGCTTGGGTCAGAGTTGACCGGGTTGACCTTTGACCAGTGGGTAGACTTTTCCATAATCACCCATTTTTGACCGTTCGAATGGCATTCTGACTCGAAATTTCGATATGATTTCAGATTTGGGATCTATTTGAGCATCTGGAATTCATAGATACCGCTTTTCCCATTTTCTAAGGTGATGGTCTACTCTCGAACATTTCGTACGCGACTTAGAACTTTAAATAATTATATTTTAGTTTTATTATGTTCCGTCTGCGTGAATTAAATCTTTTAGGGTCTGATTAGTGTCTCTTTGATTAGTTATTTAGGCTCTTTGCTAAACCGTAATTATGGTGTTAGATGGTTCAACATTCATTGCTTCGCTTAATGTAAGCATTTAGTTAGAATTTCTTGGGACGGGTACAAAGACAGACTTTTGTTTGGCCGGGTGTATGTGGGCTACAGACAGCTGCAGTTGACCGGCTGGATTGTAGTTCGTTAAGTCGATAAATCGTTTTCGAGCGGTGTGACTGGGCACTATCCCAGCGTTTGGCCTGCTATTGGGCAGCGAGTATGTGACTCGCTAGGACCATTTTTTGTTGTTTGTGGTACTTTATGTACCGAGTTTGACATGTATCAGAATTAATTTATATTTATCGGAGTGCTATGTCCGGGTCCACGGACTTCGGGGCAACATCTCATACCTCACTGAGTGACTCCCCAGTCGCTCATCCCTCTTTCTTCCCCATTTCAGGTGAGACAAACAATCATGTGATATTTGGACGGACTTGGTGCTATTGGGGAATTTTTATTTGGCCTTGGGTGAGAGTAGTTGGGCTTATGGATGTTTATGTTACGAGATATTGTTGGTGGCCCTTCGTCCCTAGAGAGATGGAGACAGGTGTCATATTGTTATTTGATGATGCGTCGGGGATGATAAGCTGTCCTCCAGGTAGGAGGTGACGGGTGTTACAGATATGTTTATGTGAAAACTTAGGATTTGATCTACAAATGAATGGCACGTTAAAAGGAATTTTTTTAAGAAAACCGGTTAAGATAAGAAGTAATTAAGGAAATATGGGATTAAGCAAATGATAAGAAACAAGGAAAGTATGTTTTGGCTTCAGACCGTAAAGGATGATATTAACGTTTTGTCTTCGAGTCGTAAAGTATGATATGAACGTTTTTGCTTTGGCCTGTATGTTGGCTTCGGCCATGATAGACCTATGGGGCCGAGTGGCTTCGGGCCGTATGAGTGACCGACGGGTCGAGTATGATGGCACGAGCCAAGTATATTTTTCTTCAGGCCGTAAGCGACCTTCGGGGTCGAGACTGAGTATAATGTATAACGGAATATAAATGAATAAAAATCTATAAGTAAAGATAAATGAGAAATTAAAAAAATGATTTAAGTATAAGAATGAAATGAAATGTTAGGATGCTAGTACAAAATGAAATGTTAGGATGCTAGAATGAAATGGAAAGCTAGGTTGCTAGAATGAAATGTAATGCTAAGTTTCTAAAAAGAATTGGATGCTAGGTTGCTAGAATAAAATGGAACGCTAGGTTGCTAAAATAGAATGGAACGCTAGGTTGCTAGATGTTACGGGTTGCATGTAGACGGTCTTGAGCATCCTCACCGAGAATTTTTATATGCTCATGC